CTACTAGAGTTTTTTGCAAATAGAGATCAGGACTTCTACGAGAGAGGCATTTTGAAGTTACCTTTAAAATGGCAACAAATCGTTCAACAAAACGGTGCATATTTGACCCAAATCGGACAATCCGAAGCATGTTAAATAAAGTCCCGAAGTTCAAATAAAAATAATGGATTTCTTTTTCCCCAAACTAATATGTTGTATTATTCTAGGTGGCTTTTAGAAACGTGGGTTTCAGTATGTGAAAGTACTTTGTTAGGCGTATTTTTTTTTTCTTTTTCTTAAATTAAATTATAATCTTTAAAGCTACTACATAAAAAAGATAACATTATATTTGAATTTATATTGTTTTTCATTCGACCTAATTTTCAGGATAATAGTGATTTATATTCAAATTATTCGAAAAATTTTTCTTTTTTTTGGTTAAAATATAAACTTAAAAACTTTAGGAAAAATTCGAAGAATCATTTTAATTATTTCAAGTAAGTTTAGATAACTTTAGAAAATACGGCTTATTTTTAAGGCACAAATCTTGCTCGTTTCACGGAAGTAGAGAATAGTTTAGCCTGAAAATCACTCTGTTAAAAGCTAAAAATAAATGTATATACATATATACAGGTGTAGTATGGATGTCACTATGGGCATTGAAGGTTTCTTGTATACCCCTAAGAATTGGGGAAAAGTATAATAAAATCTTATAATAAAAGCAAATATTGGTTGACGGTTTTTTGTCATTGTAAAGGGCTTTAAAACTTGCCGTGAATTTTATGAGAAAAAAATGAATAGGGAACCGACGATCCCACTTGTACGACACAGCCAGTCCAAGCTAATGATTTACCGCCATCAGAATGCATTACAGTTGTTATGCTCAGCTTAATGTATGTCATTAAACCGATCAGTAGCGTCTATAAAAATATCTATGAAAAGCAAGGAAACATTAACAGTTTTATAAGTTTTCCAAACAACTTTTAATTCGATTGAGTATAACTTCGAAAATACTAAGGCCACAACTTACATCTTTTAACCATAAATGCTTAATTTAATCGTGCAATTCTTTCCATGCCGTACCATCTAATTTAAAAAGGATTTCGTGTTAGTGGATCGGTGCTTGCATTATTGTATAAACCGCGATCTTGTAAATGATCACCATTTGCCACCAAAATTTGACAAATAGCATCAAGATCCAACATTAATACTATCGGTTTTAGCCAAGCGTAAACACCGATAAATGGTGCTCGTCTACCATAGAGGGTGTAGAAACGTCGCAAAACATCGGCTATATGCAGCTTATTTGCAACAGTTGGGTTTAGAATGCAGTATACCACGATATTTTCAATAACTGAAAGCTGCTTTCACTATTAAATAGACAATTAATAATAATTCACTCGTTTTGACGCGGTTTTCATTACAATTCCTCAAAAGGCTTTTCCTTTTTTGGTTTGTACATTTTTCGCCAAAACACGTATTGGTATTGAAGTTACAGACTCCAAGAGATTTTCTTGAGCAAATTGGATCACTTTGCTGACCAAGCCTTCTGCGTTTATGCAACGCCCGCTGCTTCTAAATTATCTACAATTAAAGGTGGTTTCTGCTTGTAATTCTTCAATAGGAAGAATTTCGATAAGTTCTTTCACCATGTGGAGGAAGACGTATTGAGCCGTATTCAGAACTCCAGTGGCTGTTTTTAATGTTTCCTTCGAATTCTCATAGACACTGCAGACTACATCTTCAGTGTTAACTTCGGTTCGTTCATAATCGAAAACGAAGCGTTCGAATATTTTCCACAATGCATTCCATAATGTTATCAGTAAGCTCGCCTTCAAACGGGTAGGACGCTTGGCCTAAATACGAGTTAGTTTGTAGGCCTAACGCCGGGCATTGTCTGGGCCAGTTGATTTTCCAAATCTGTGCATGAATAACTTTTGCACAATATTCTGGCATCGGTCCATAGCCAAATCATCAGCCACCAAACGTACAAAGAAAGTTTCAAGACGAAACATTTCTGGGCACACACCAACCGTATCGCTTGGCATTGTCATCTTCTCCACCGCCATTTCCATCATGGATTTGCAAAGATTTAGCTTTAACCCGTAAAGTAGCTATTACTAGTTCCAAATGCTTTATTCATAAAGAAACAACGATTACATTATATGACTTTTAGGAAGCAATTGTGTTAGCTGATTATTACTGTTATAAGTTACTTTCTTTATCAATGGCAGTAAGCTTTTCTATGTCACGATCCCAACTGAGATTAGGCGGTTGCAACCATTTCCTGTAGTATTTCTGCTGCTGCATTAAAATTCTTTCAAGAGAATTTTTCTCCTCAGTCAACATCGACAGCTTGTTGACCTTTTCTCAATTTGTTCGCGTTTCTTTTATAAGTTCTTCTTGCGCTAAAGTCAACTCCTCCTGTAAAGTGCAAAAATATTTACATTCTTGTACCCGGAATGACGAGTACAGTAACTGCATGTATCCTTTTATTTATCATTATCCGATATACGAATTGAGGACTTGATCAGAACGTACCGCTTTTTCATTTCTTTGCGTTAAAAATAACAACTTACCCGTCTCTTCTTCATTTCTTGTTCAATTAGACGTATGTCCTCTTCTGCGGTTGTCTCCAGTTCGAAAACATACTTTCCAAGGACTTCTTCTTCGAGTTCATCCAAATTTAGGATCAAAGCAAATAAATGAAATGTCCGTGTTCAAACGTCTTAAATGTACGATATTTACGCGGTGCAAGTGTTTGGTTTCTACTTCTTCATTTTTAAGTGTTCCTACGCGCCCCTTTAAATCTATAAGTCTATTGGAGTCGAAAAGAACCGCCTTACTTATGTCACGCAAATCTTCGCTTTCTCGAAAATGTTGTATTTGATCCATTTGTAAAAAGATGGACACATATATTTTGTTAAGCTCTTGTTGGCGTTTTCGCTAAAAGAAGTTTTTATAGGTTACACTGGCTATTAATTTCTTAATTTATTGAGGGAAACAAAACGTGAATAATTCATTTCAATATTGATTCACTTCTGGCACAGTACCATTGTACGCTATTGTCTTTTCACTTTGCATTCTTGCATTTGCACTTATATTCTCTTCTTTGCGAATTAATGTTGCGAAAAACGCACTTACCCCGAACGCCAACTTTTCCTGCTCTTTGTTATAAACATCCGTATGATATTTTACGTTCTTTTGCGCTTCCTTAACTTCGTCACATTTGGAATCTATCTGCTTGAGGGCATCATTTAAATTTTTTTCCAATTCATGTCTATCTGCGCGTAACTTAAACGCTAACTCATACATGGACCTCTCCAGTCCGGGTGGACAATGGCTTTCATCCAAACGTATGGCCGTCATATCAGTGGAGTCAATACTTTTGGTGTCTTCTTCCCCTTCGCTGGAGAATTCATCCTCCGAGCACGACTCGGACAATTCTAAAGAAGCATATAGAACATAGAAAAACGAGGGTATATAATGCTTCCAGAGCAATTCACGCTTAAATTCTATATAGTTTACCATCTTCATTTTTTGGTTGCATAGGTGGACGCCATTTTTTGCGAAAAATTCGACGCAAAAAGTTGAGAAACTTAAGACCCTTAGTGTTAGTCATAAATTTTGTTTGAATTATAGCGACTTGGTCGTTAATGCGATCGCAGTTTTTACACAATTCGTCAATTTTCCGTGTCAACGCGTTAATAGAGGTCTGAGCCTGGTTAAGTGTCGTCAAAGCGTATTCGGGATTATCTAGTTAATTTTCTATCTGTTACTGTCTCTCATTATATACAGCTCTTGATTCATAGCTGTTAGATAACTAGTCATGAAATCAGTCTCATATTTTACTTGGAGTCGATCATCGCTTAATTCAGTCAAAAAATCATCAAATCTTTGAACGCTTTGATGTACAACGGTTAGAATGTCGTCTTGTTCGTTTAATAAATTTATCAGCCAGAGATAGCGTTTTTCTATTAACCCGGTTTTCATTCGAATTCTCTATACCTCCCATGGATTTGTAAACAAATTCATCTGTTTTTGATTCGAAATCGCTATACCTCCCATTGATTTGTAAACAATTTCATCTGTTTTTCATTAAATTCGCCATACCACCCACTGATTTGTACCACATTCATACAGTAGCGCAATGTGAAGAGCAATATGAATTGAATTTCTAGCAAAAATATATTATTCGTTATAGGTACCTAAGTTTGTTTACCAATTACGTTAACATTAAAATGTCAAATTTATAATAGCATTAAAAAGGATAACAATAATATATTGTTTTAAAGTCACGTTTCTTTTTGTATTTGCATTAAATATTCCCTCCCTGTGTATACATGTGTAAATATTTTAAACAATTATAAAGTGTAAACTAATTTAAAGCGGATAATATGTGCTCCATAATTATAAGATCACAATTTACATTAATATAATGAGCTGAAGCTAAAGGTTATACGATTATATTATAAACAAAAAAAAAGGTTGAGAAAAAAATGAATATTACATTTCGTAGCTGCTGACATATTAACGGTATCACATACTTCCTCAAGTAATCGCTTCTAAATTCTCTTATTTTCGCTCTGTTCTTTCTATGAAATATTTGGCCCACTTCAATAGCATCGTATGTTCCGAGCTGTACAATTCCGTAATGCCGAATTAAAGTGCGTATTGCTTTTTTTTATCATAGCTGTTGCAATTCTTTCGTTTTTGTTTGGCATTTTTTTTTTTTCCTTTAATAATGCTTTTGGTGAAAGCAAAGTAAAACTTGGTAAATTTGGAATATTAAATACGTTGCCATGGTACTGTAGCATCCAAGAAAAACGAATATTAAATATACTTAAAGAAGTAAGTTGACTCATAATCTGATGTAATATTTTCTCTTTTACATATTTTCATCATTACTTTTGTTTGAGAAAAAATTTCAACAACAAAATATAACAATAATAAAAAACAGCTGACAATCTGAAAAGGTTGTTATATATGTGTATGTTTGATTATTATTTAGCAGATGAGCAAACGACGGGGCAATTATTGAAAAATGTAAAAGTACGGGCAAATTGAACAAACGTCGAGTAAATGAACGAGGAACTTATGAAAGTTACTTGAAAATAATTATGATGAAAATGTGTTGTTTAAAATGTCAAAAGTTAATTAAAAATTCCAAAATTAATCACAAACGGGAGACATCCTTCAGATCATTGCAAAATATTTAAATCAATTACTGCCTTGTAATAAATTATAAAATAAAATATTTGTTTTGTAAGTCTATGAAAGGAATCAACTCATTGATGGAAGACCTTAGCGCATTAACGTTTACTGCATAAAAATTTTCAAAAAGTTTTCTATATGCTAAAAGCACTGCCAAATTCTTCGTTTCAAGCTTAATGTGGCATTGGCGTCAGTTCTTCCAAAAGAAAAGCAACCACAGACTGAATTTCTAGCAAAGTAAAATAAGAATTGTTACGGTATGAACGTAAATGAAATGCAGTTGAGAGATTTCGATGAAGAAACGGAAGACACGGACTCTGAGACTGAATTGCTTGTACGCCACGTTGGTAACGGCGGTAGACAGCAATCAGACTTTAAATTACAGAAGACCAAAAGCAATTCTAACTCAATAACAAACAACAACCGTAGCCGTAGTCATGTTCATCATAATAATACCAATCGTCATAGCCGCTCGCTAATGAATAACCACCAACGCAAAACGCAAAGCTTTCTCAGTCAGCTCTTTGATGTTGTTAGCAACACAACATTTACTCGCAATAATAATAATTCGATATTGTCGCCATCCACGTCAAATTCTCATCGGCCTAATTTACGTACTTCACGCGCTGCGCCGGTACGTCACAGAAATGAACAAAATTGTGAATATTTTGTGTCAAACTCAATCAGTGCAAATACATCAACTACGAGTACGATAAATAATGCGGCATATGCCGCCCGTTTCAATCATTCCTCGAAAACTTATCATATAAAACATCCGGTTGCATCCATGGATTCAACTGATGCTAGCCCAATGGGTACCTTTCACTACAGTGATACACCACCTACAACTAATACGACAGCAGGATTGAGCGCCACGTCTAATAGTGTTAACGCAACGACAAACAATGGTCTACAAACCGTTGTAGATCCCGATAACGGTTCAACAACAGTATTCTATCAAAAAAATCGACGGAAAAGTAAAAAGCGCTCGCTAAGCAATCTTTGTAAAGTTTGTTTATGTAGGTAAGTGCCTTCAAGTGTAAGTGTCCGTTCGCTGGTACTTGTTACGTATATGATAATTTAGTGATAATGAGATAAAAACAAGTTATTTTATTTGTTTTGCTTAAATTAAAAAAAATTATGACATTAATAAGAAGCAGTTGCAAAATGCGATTTAATTTCCTTATTTGAGCAATAAGTAAGAACTTCAAAAAGTGTTCTCTGCAAATATATTTGCATAAATAAATTTTTAACAAAGCTTTGACTGAGAACCTGAGCTGATCGCAAGAAAATGGGAAAATTTTTGACAAGTGAAAAATTTAATGCGATGCAATGAGTACAAAGCCAACTAAAATACTTTGTGAGAAAAATGTATTTACAAGAGTGATGGATGGTAGTAATAATTTTGCAATTCCAGTTAAGAGATCTCGGGGAAGTTAATTAGATGCTCTTAATTTTCGCTGGTCAATGTATTTTCATCATACCTAATTTATATTCTTATATCAAAAGGAATTTCGTAGCTGCGGTTTGAAAATGTAAATGATAGAGACATGTCCACAATAGTTGAAAAATGAAAAAAAAAGAAAATATGTGTCGGAACCTCTGATTTCAAGTATAAAAACAGTCGACTTCGAGTGAGCGAATAATTTCCAGCTGTTTCTAATACAATTGCAAAGCTCACTTTCAGGGTTATTAAGAATCTATAACATAAGTTTTTATTTTTTATTTCCAAATATAGAAACCTGATGTGAACTGCTGACTGTTCAAACCTATTTCGCTTGTTTGTTTACCCCTATCTTTTTTCATTTACAATATTTGTTTATATAAACACTTCACATAATGTGCTTTGTTTATGACTCAGCATAACTTTAAAAAAAAATTCATATCACTGCTTATATAAGTCGTTTTGGTTTGATATATTTGAGAAAAAATATACATTTCTTAGACGTTTTTAAAACAAGAAATATGAGTAAAAGAGCTTAACTTATTGATTCCGCGAAGTCTTTATGGGGCTAAAGATGCACTTATTATTTTTGTTAATTCTGAGAATTAAGTTTTTGATTTGTTTCCACTTGTAGGTTTCAATAACGTTTGTGTATAATAATTTACGAGAGTTAATGTTTTACTCTAATGGGCAATAGTGTTGGCGTTCGGTTGGTATGTCGTACATACCAATTACGTACTAGAAGCAAGTGAATTGCTTGTATGGTGCACATACATATATATATCATTAATCCGTCTGCTTACTGCTTCGTTTACTTTCTTATACTTAAGGTTGGCGTTAGTAAGATATGAAATACATTAAATACATTAAACATCACGCCTATCATTCACAACAAAAACTTATCGTGCACAACATTCCATTCGTAAGTTCCAATAATATTCGACAGAAACTGTTCAAATGCATGCGTACTGATTTATCAAAAGATTTGATGTTTCCCTTTCTGGCTGTTAAGATATAGAATCGAAGAGTTATGTCAATACTTGAGTACAACTTACAAGCCATCCTTTAATACTTTTACAGATATTTTTACAGAGCTTGGCAGAATCCTATGCGTTCCCTTTTTCGCTGAAGTGTTAGATGATTTTTGTAAAAAGCTCTTACGAACTCTAGCACAGAACAAACTATCGCAGCTATGAATTTTGATCTATAACTCCTATATCCTACACCACATGTGGTACCACACGTCTGTTAAGTAGACCCACTTTTTATTATGCCGATCGGTTCAAAATTATTTCCTGTCTGCCCGTCTTGGTTTCTTGTGTTCAATTTACAGTCCGCAATTTTTAAGATATTTTGATGTATTTTGATACACCGACATACTTTGGCTCAAGAGCGGACGCTATTGAAAATGGTTCGAATCGGACCATTTTTTCATACACTTTCCATCTAACGCCGTTTATGAATAACTGTAGGGTGATATAGGGTGTTCAATGGAGGCCCACGTTCCGCTATAGTGTTCTCCCTTGTTTAAATATTGGTTTTGAATTTATCACGTTGATTATCTGGAAAGGTCAACTAAGTTATATATCACGTTTCCACCTTCTACTACAGCTGTACTTTTTATTACCGTGACTTTCCAAAACTGGGAACGGACACACCCGTATTTTTAATTTAATAGCGAATCCCGCGTTAATCGTGAATATATGTATATTAATGTGTGGTAGGCATTTTTGGGTGATGCGAAACAAGTTGAGTATAAGGCCAATAAAAAAATTAAGCTTTCGTATGTCGTGAAGTTGAAATTTTGTTTGATTTTGCTCGACTATTGGCTTCTTTTCGATACGTTTTAATTTTTTATAACTACTTAAAGCGGAAATTTGTTGTTTGCGCTTAAGGTAGCTCTTGAATGAAAAATTTTATTTAATATTAATCAGTAAAAGTTGCCCGCAACCAATGTAATGTTAGCCACAAAAGGGCTAATGATTCAGATTTTCTTCTCTGTCAAATATCGGATTAAAATTTGCTTACAATATGTATTAGGATAATTTTTAAATTCAAAATTAATATGCAATTCCTTTGTACGGGTGCGCAAGTAGTAAAAACCTGTTCAAATATAATATTAATGATCAAGGTGAGCACACAGTTTTCTGATTTAAAATTATGAAAATTAACAAAACATTTGAAAGTATTAGATTTATTTGCAAATACATAAAATATTCCTTTAAGCTCTTGTGTTCGCTTCGTATCTTTCCTCTTGCAATTCAAAATTCATTTATTGAAAAGAAGTGTTAAGAATTTATGGCATAAAAAATTGACGCTAATAAAAGTAATTATTCGATATGTGATTTTCTTGAAAGTCAGGGAGGAACAATTAAAAAACTATATTCGGTTGTGACCGAATCTTTTACGCCCGTCACTGTCAACCTCAAAAAGGCTAAAAAAAGGGGCAGGACAAAATTTTCACGTTCTATAATAATAGACGCGTGCGACTGATTTTTTCCATTTTCAAAATAAAAGTTTATGTCTGGACGGACGAACAAGCAGTCATGCCTAGGTGTTTTCCAAATTTGAAACTAGCCAGGGATTTGTATACCTTGTAGGGGTTTTGAAACTTGTTTCCGGTCGTTATTACGGTATTGAAAAAAAAATTAAACTAACACACTATAACGTTTGGGTAGGTGTGGTTAATTTTTCCATTTTTCTTCAGTGACTACGGCATCGCCTACAGAATGTGCTTTGAAATTTTTGTACATTTACTTGCTATAGTCTATGAGCAAAAAACCAAATTTTTATTGTTTCGAAAAACGCTAGTGTTCTCAGTTTACGTGGTGCTGTGGACGTGCCCTTCGACCGATTTCGACCATTCTTAGTACCAAACTGCACACAAGAACTTCAAATGTTTCTGCCAAATTCGAAGTCGATAGCTACATGTTTGCGGCTAGGAGAATGTTTACAAAAGACATTACACAGGCGTACAGAGGGACATGCTTAAATCTATTCATAATTTTATGCTAATCGTGAATGAATATATTTTGTGGGATCTTTGGGATTTTCTTCTGGGCGTTGCAATAATTTTGAAAAAATGAATATGCCCCTCCCTTATCCTTCGATGATGGGTATAAAAATCAGTTGATGGAATAAATTGACAAACGTAAGGGAACTGACATGTAATTACATATCGAAAAGTAAATTTTTTATAAGCTTCAAAGTAGCATATTCTAGTTTGACCGTATTGCGCATCTGGCGACATAATTTGATGCCGCTGCTTCTTCATTTAATCATGGCAAGCACGCAGGTCAGTCGTAGAATCCGTGTACAAGCCGAGTTACAATATTATAGGTGTGCGTGTGTTTGCTGCATCGGTGAAAAAATTAATATCGAAAAAAAGTCAATATTCTATACTTGATGTCAGTTTTAACGAAAAGTTCAATTAATGAAATAAGTCGTTGCTGATCTATCTCGAATGTTCGCGAATGGTACATGCACTTTAACGAAGGCCATGAAGACTTAAATGAAAACCAATATGTCGAAATTTGTGATTACGGAGAATGCCCTGAAAACAGTGCCCGAATTCTTAAAAGATTCAAAACGATCGAAATTTATACGAATGCGATTAGCTATCGTCAAAATGAACGAACGTGTAACATTTTGAATGTTTTCTCGCTTTGCTGTGCTGAGCAAAAGTCGCGCAGAAAATCTCCTCCTATTTATTTATTATCTATTCGCAAAAAACGTTTCGTTATAAACTGAATATACTGTCTTAACGTGGAGGCTTATACTAATGTAACAAGAAAACTTCACTTACAAAAATTTAATTCAGCTCAGACACTTCCCATTACTGTACGCACGTGAAAGAAGGTCAGTAAAGAATAAACCTTTTGAGCCTAGATAGGAATTTATTATTTCAATAAAGTCGTCTTTATATTAGAACGGATTTTGTGCGTGATGTCGTTGATGATGATAACGTATTGATGAATATTGCGTAGCTATAGAAAGCGCTTAGTTGACGAGGGCATAACAAGTATCGATCGAGCGCTAAAGCCATCTCTTCTGTTTCTATCAATCTCTTTCCGTTTCGTCACCGTGTTACACGAATAGTGATTGATCGAAAAAAAACCTGGAAAATATGTTTTCTAAAATCATTCTAATATGCGATTCAATTATTTTTTAATTTAAATACCTGGCGTCAGTAGACCCATCTAGATTCATTAAATTGACTCATGAAACTCATTACTTATGTAATATAATTTAAAATACCTTTTTTTCAGAAAACATTATTAAGAAAAGCGTTAAAAGAACTAATGCATTAAACAAATTTGCACATGTTCAAACTGCTTCTCAATACGTCAATTAAAAAAAATTGGAATAATTTATAATTCTAATAACTATTCTTATGTAGCGGTGATCTGCGAGAGAGATAGAAAAATAAGAGTTCTGAGGCATACGAATAACGTAATACAAGTTAGACTTTGCTAATTGTATGGAAACATTTTGTGATTGCAGAAAAATTGCACAGGCGTCTATATTTATTCGTATTTAAGTTGTCGGTGTCAAAGGTCAGATAAAAGTTTGTTTTTTT